TGCTGATCTAGCAGTAGCCTGCAGTGCTGCATTTAACCACTGCGCCACCTTGGCTCATAGTATGACTGAAGCTCTATTTTTAAGATGCAACACAGGCAGGACCTTTGATCACACAATCATGAGTACTATCTTGATTTTTCTGACCATGCAAGCTAATTTCTGAAAAGTTACCCTCTTTGTGTCATTTTTTAGAGCAAAACTTGCAAAGGTGGTCTTTATTGAAGGAAAATGTTGGATATGTTCATTCTGCATAATGTAGGCATTAATACCAGATTGTCACTTCCCTTTTCATTTTAGTTACCAATACTTGATTTCTCCTCCTTCACTTCCCTTTTTCCATACCCAGGCCTTGACATTTACCTTGTGGCTATGTTCTACTTCCCCATTTCCTTCTCTTTAATCAGCCTTTCTCCCAACCCTGGAGTTTAAAAAGAACACACCTCAGTGGACTATAGCTCCAGAGCTTACAAAGGAAGTGTTTCCTTGGGGATGGAAGGACAGGGGCAGATGAGGGGAGTGAAGTACAAAGCTCTATACAATGAGTGGGATTATCCTGGAAGTATTCCTTCCTAGCTTCAGAGGAAAGAAAATGCTTGAGAGTTACATCAGAAAGTAGGTAATTATCAAGAACTGCAGAATTTCTTCCCATCTATGGAAGAGGAATGTCATTTAGAAGGCCAGAAAGAAACAGTTGGGAAGCAAGGAGTTCAAAGTTTTGCATTTAGCTCTTGAAGAACAGCATGAAAATGAAACAAGGAATTTTGGGCATTTTCCTGATTATGAAAAGACAGGTTGAGTAAATAGCATGTGGGGAAATTTCAAAGCTCTAGTATTCCAATCCAGATTTCTATAATCTAGTGATTTCCAGATGGCAAAGGAATTCTGGATTTTGTAATCCCAATCAGAGACGGGGGGAAGAATGGCTGTGGACCTAGTTCTCCCAGTTTCTAGTTAGATGCCTTAACCATTATACTAAAATGGCTGTCTTGCGATGATTAAATTCTACATTCATTTAGATTATATCAAAGGTGAAATTCAGCAGGTTCTGACAGGTTCTAGAAAACCAGTAGCGGAAATTTTGAGTAGTTCAGAGAACCGGCAAATACCAC